AGGATTTGGCGTTTGCGATGGGATCAAACCCTGTGAAAACATTGTGCATGCTAATCACTGCCACAAAGGGACTCAGGCCTGGAGGATCTTCAAGTGGCTTTGGCAAAGAGACTTAGGTCAACCACTTGTGTAAGTTACCCCAAGCACTTGGATGCCTTTAAGAACGTAGGTTTGCAAAACCTATATTCTTCCCGTCGGAGCTAACCCCATTTGGAATCCCTGCGCGGGAGCCGGAGCCGAAAGCTGAAGATGTAAAAAGCCTGAACCCAAAGCCAGAGCCCCAAACCCTGAATCCAAATCTCTATGAAGTTTCGGGTTGAGGGTCTAAATAGGAACCCCTGACGTCACACCCAAGCAGTTTGGAAAGAGGGGTGGCAAAAGAACCTTGAACTCTCACACCCTAAACCCAAGCCCTAAAAGGCCTAATCCTAAACTCTTGAATCCCTGAATGAGTTTTATCACCCAAGCCTTAATATTCAAGAATCCCTTGAATCCCTGACCACACCTTAAACCCTGAACCCTAAGCCTAAAACCTAAGCCCTAAAAGCCCTGATCCCTTGAATCCTTGCCGATTTAAATTGATGGGCGCTTTTGAATCCGAGGGTCCTTACACGGAAGATCCTGCTTCTACTTTGGGGTATGGAGCATGTAAGCAGAGCCGAACAAGTCACACCAAATACTGGAATAGCCAGTGAAGCGACACATGCCAGACACATGCCAGATAAACTCAGCACATCGCATGAAGAACTAAGAAAAAGGAAACACCTCTTGCAAAGTTAGCTGACGCCGCTGTGCGCCAGAGTTGCGTCAAGTATAGGTTCTACTGGTTCTTCACTTGAAGAATGCCCCTCTGAGAATGTAAGAATTCGAGTAAGTGTCAAGACAATGGCATATTTCTGAAAGATTCTGAAATGGGCGCCGTGCGAGTGTTGTGCTATTGATGTGATCTAGGATCTAGGTTCTGGTAAAGAACATGCGATACGGGGCAGCTGTATTCAAATGATTGCGCACGCAGGCCCAAACAAAGTTCCTCCCAGGAGACTTGCAAGGGGTCTGACAATCATTCGCTGTACCAGTAGAGGGTTGCTGGCTTCAGTATTCAGCAAAGATGGTGCTCAGATGCAGCTCAGAGAAGCTAATCCAATAGATTTGCACGTTTGCCACACAAAACCCTTGCGGACGCGTCAGACACAGATACAGATGCAGTATTTTCGAGATGTGTGTGGAGAGGGCGGGGCCAGTTATATCCTGTCAACTGCGACAATGAATTGGGAGGCGAGCAAAAAAGGAACGATGCCGTGGTACCAATTTTTCGTGTGCAGCTCAGCTTCTGCCGCATCAGCGGCAGCGCAGAAGGCAAGCTCGACATTCAACAATCCAGGAGGTGCTTATTCACTCAAATCCTGTTGCTAAATATGAAGCCCGAATCTCAGGATGGTGAGGCGGGCATGTGCCAAACACCGTCTGTGGACTGTAGGACCCCATGTTGACTACCACATAGGCAAACTGGTCACCTTGATTTTGGCACAGACCCAGGGTGAAAGCAGGCTGCTAAGCAGGCTGCGAAGCAGGGCATCACTGCCGGTGCCGGCATTCGGGTGACGGACGCAGGACCCCAGATTGGGAAATTTGAGGCTTGAAGGGTTTGAGGCTTTTTGAGGCTTGAGGCCCCTTCAAGCCTGAGTGAAACGTGGTATTACCCAAGGAGCCGAGGCTAAGGGCAAAAGGCCGATGGTGGGAAGGTAGGCCTTACTTCAGCTTTTAAGGTGATTCCGCTTGACAAGTTCTCTTGGAACCCTCAGAATCTTGCAGACCCGAGGTTTGTCCGGCCTGAACCCCAAAAGTATATAGAATAATGACATCTTTGGCCATTTTTGAGGGGTTTGGGCTATTAGTTTACCTACTTTTGGGGTCCAGGTAGAGGTCATTTGGGAATTTCGTGAGTTTCGATGTCGCGTGCTCAAATGAAATCTCGACGCATCGAACCCAGACTCAACCGTTCTGTCGGTGTAACTTATCATATGGCAATTTCCCAAAACAGGGGGACCACCAAAAAAGGCCCAATGGTCAAGACCTACAGGGGATGATTGAGTTCCATCTTATATTCGGTGACATACGCAGTGGGCAGCTTTCATGGAAGTGGCATAAAAGGCATCCGTTGCATCCCTACACTTTACCACAGAATCCTCCATCATATGCCTGCGCAGGCAGCACTGGTCTTGCAGACAGAACGGACCAAGGCTGGAGACGGCTCACCCCTGGTCCAGCTACGTGTTTCTCTGCCCGTGGCTTCTTGCTACAGCAGGCGGTCTAGCTGTACAAGAAATGCATCGCTGCAAAAGGTGGATGAAACTCTAGCAAAACCATCATGTCAGAAAGGCATGACACACCTCCTGTAGCCATGCACATACATTGACTAGATGTTAATGTTCATTTCCTTCAGTCCCATGGCCTCCGGCTGGGAACGCAGCTGGGCCTCAACGTCATCACCTCAGCTGCGCCGCTGCTCCACGTCTAAGTTCAGCCGGCTTCGGTTTGCCACATGGCCGTAGGAGCTAAAGCTCCAGAATGACACAAACGAGAAGTGCATCTGGAACTGAAGGCTGCACCGGGTTTGGCTGGTAGCTTTGGCTGGAAATGCCAACCAGGAAATTGCTTGGATCTTGCGCTTCAGCGATCATCCCCTGAACGAAGCGCTGGCAAAGGTAACGTGAGTTGGGAAAAAACGCGCAAGGCGGGAAAAGGGGAAAACGTGAGTGGGGAAAAGGTGCGGCGTTTCCCCCACGCATTGCTCATTGCGAAATGAAACAAGGGAGTCGGGAAAAGAGAAGGCGTGTGTCGGGAAAAGGGGAATGGGGAAAAGGGGCGGGAAAAGGCAAAACTTTCCCTATTTTCTCCAGAGTCTGCGGCGAGCAAAACTGTGCCCATGAAGACCGTGGACTCTTGGGGGGTTGCCTAACCCTGGAGGTCATCGCAAAAGCACCGCAAAAGTTACGCGTAACCACGCGTCATCCAAAAGGCAAACAAATCTTCGACTGCCCCGCCACTGTCACCCGCCACGCGAAAGTTATGAGAACGTCACGCAAAGGCTGCGCAAATGTTACGCAAAGGTTCTGCAAAAAAAGATCGGGAAAGCGCGGTCCCTCGCGGCGTATTTGGGGTGGTTGTCGGGAAGAGTGTAATGCAAAGTGGTGGAAAATCAGGGTTTATGGACATAGCTGATATCGTGAAATGCGCTGACCGCCCCCACTCCAGCTCTCATGCTTATCGCAAGGTGAAAGTTCAACCCACGTCTGTGCCCAGTTTCCCCCTCTCAGCTGTCGTGTCCATCTCGCTCCACAAAATGGAAAAAAGATTGATTTAATACATTTCCGTACTTGGTTTTTCCCGCGATTGCCATGCCTTCCTTATTCTCGGCTGCCTGCCGGCACGTAGGTCTCACTCACTCACTCATTCACCCACCCCGTAATTAGCTTTGCTTCTGTCATTGCTTTCTTCGTCCCGCAAACAAAAACGGGTGGTTGCAACAGGGCGTGTTACTTGGCTGTCCTTGGCACTTCATGATCACCAGCCCCATACCTGGTTTTCATTTTGTCGTTCCACCGGCCCTTTTTGCCAACGGGCGCCAAGCCAAACCGGCACTGTCGTGAGCTTGCCAGGCAGCTCGAAGAGCGACGTGGCAAGCAGCCACGGAGATGATGCCGCCTCAGCGGTGGACCCACGGGCTCATCACAGCAGGACCGCGCGCAGGACGTGCCCTTGCCGCACGCGCACACGCATGCATGCGGAGGAAGGCTGCGGTTTCCGGAGCCCAGTGCTTGCCAACCTCGACGCCGGCAGCTGGGGCGAGACCGCCTAGCTCCGGGTACGTGACTGCGATTGTTTGCAATGCCTATAATATTGCGGGGTGGGGCGCTAGGCACATCGCCTGCTCAGGCGTGACGCGTTCCGTCATGCATGATGACGTGACATTGGTGGCATCAACCGGAACCCGCGTGCCCTGCTAGAGCGGCAGCCTGTTGCAAACGAGCTCGATGCGTTGTGCGTCGTGGATTGGCCAGTGGGGGTTCATTGCTGCCAGCCTCACACTCCGCCCCACACACACACCTGGCAAAGGCGCGATGACGCGCTCCCCTCCCGAATGCTCCTGGGGCAAGGCCCGTGAGGCACCTGGCGCGATGCAAGACGCTCGGTGGTTTACATGTGCATCAAGTTCGCCGCGGCAGGAACAGTGGCTGGGGCTGAGCGGCGGCGGCAAGCGCCACTGTCGAAGGAGGAGGACAGGAAAACAAGCGAGCCCGTCCGATTTTGTGAGGACCCGCGCCGCATGGCGCCCAGCCTGCGACAGCAGCAGCGTTCAGGACGCAGTGAAGGGTCTGGAAAATGCGTCCGCGGGCGCGCTGCGCAGGCAATCTCCAGGTTCATCTTCGCGGTTGGTGGGGTCAACATGGCCCCGAAAGCCTTCCCTGCAAGGCCCTCAAACCCTTTTGCGTGGGAGGTAGGCGGCAGCTTGCTCTGCTGCCGTTGGGGTTGGCACGTGCCCAACGCTGGGCTCGCGCAAAAAAGGCAAGTCGGGCCGCGATGTTTTGATGACCGGCAGCGTGTCCATCCAAGAAGCCCAGTAGGCCGCATGCCGGTCGGCGATGGTTCCATGCAGACCAAGACCGCCGCAGCGGAGTGGGAAGCGAGCAGCTCGTGCTGGCATGGAGGGCAGGGGCACATCTGCAAAGCCGAGCAGCGTCGTGAGGCAAAACGCGACGGCTTCGCTCGGGCGCGCTCGCATCTGCAACGCCGCTGGCGGGCTGCAGCGCGCGAAGCACAGAAGTCGCGCATGGGCAGGCTCAGTGCCGGAGCAAAAGCCCGGCGGCCTGCACTTCCTCAACGGCAGGGATGTGCTGGAACAACCGGTCATGCTCATCACTCTTGAGCAGCAGCTATGCCTTCAAGGCGCCCAGAACAACGAGGCCTTGCCGCTGTGGAAGGACCAACCAATCCCCGACCGAGAGCGCATGGCCCCCTCCTTCTGCAGGTCGGCAACATCTCGTGGTTTTGCCGGCCGCATTCCAAATGCACGATTTTTCGAAGTTGAGTTCAACCCGCGCACGTGCCCCCAATGTCGCGGCGCGGTCACGCTGTACAGCTCCCTCACACGCTCCGGCGCGACGACCGCATAAGTATCGTCAAGACCTTCACGAAATGCCGCCTGGACGTCGTGCAGTGCCGGCTGCTGGGCAATTGCGTGCAAGGCAGGCATCAGCGGATCTCCCTGTTCGCCACCCTCGCCTTGGCCGTGTGTGGCCCGTGGGTTGAGTTCGCCTGTTGCGGCGAGGACGCGAGTGAGAGCCTCCGTGCCAGCTCTGGTACTGAGCTTGTTTTGGTGGGGAAAACAAGCCCGCTGAAACTGTGGCGCAAAAACTTGGGCAGTGCGGCCGACGAACCGGCGGAAAACGTCCCCGACCACGAAGGGCACGGACACCCCTCCCACTTGGTTTTTGCAGGGCCACTATCCGGCCGACGTGCGAGCCGGCACCGGCACGTCTGCTTGTACAAGCCGTTGGGCAGCGCAATGCAAGAGCCTGCTGTCAAGCTCGTCGTTTAAAAATGTGCGCACGTGTCACTGGTGGCCCCCCACGCCGCTCCGCGCCGGACGTCTTCAGGCAGGCCGGCTTTCGGCAACAGGCAGGGCGCCGCAGGCTCGTGAGAGCATGCCCTCAGTGCCGGTCCAATGGGAGCCGCGTACATGCGAGCTCTGGCGTCAAGGGCCCATACGGGAGAGCAGGACGGCGCGCGAGCGTCGCGAGCGTCGCGTCAGTCCCCGGCGCCACGGGTGCGGCGACCCCGGCCTGCAGCTGAAAGCTATCCAAGGTGAACGACGGCACCTGCCCGAGTTCGTGCTTGAAGCTCACCGTATGTTTGTGTCTGTTTTCCTTCCCTCAGCTGTCGTTTGGTGCGACTTATCACACGGTAAAAAAGGGTGTTTATAACACATGTCTTTACCTTGCTTTCCCTCTGTCATGCCTACTTATCGCAAAATGGAAAAGGATGGTTTAAACATATGTCTGTACCTGGCTTTCCCTCTGTCACGTCATTCTACTTATCGCAAGGTGAAAAACTAAAGTGGGTTTGACGCATAACATGTCTGTACCTGACGCCCCCTTCTAGGCTGTCGTGTCTTTCTACAAATCGCAAGATGAAAGAGGGGGGGATTTACCCTATGTCTGTACCTGGCATTCGCTCTGTCACAAGATGAAAAGCGGGGTGGTTTCAACGTATGGCTGTGCCTGTCTTTCTTTCCGTCGGCTGTCTATACCTAACATTCCCTGCGTCACAAGGTGAAAAGCGGGTTGGTTTCAACGGTCAAGTGTTTCTACTTTTCGTAAGGTGAAAAGGGCATGGTTTTAACTTAACATATGCCTGTACCTGGCTTTACCTCTGTCATGTTTTCCTACTTGTCGCAAAGTGAAAAGGGGGTGCGTTTAAAATGTGCCTGTACCCGGCTGTCTCTCTCGCTCCGCTGTCATGTCCTCCTACTTTTCGCAAGTTGAAAAAGGGTGGTTTTAATAGATGTCCATTCCTGACTTTCTCCTAACTCGTAGGTTTCCTGATTCGTACCATTTCCTTGTCGTGACGCGTGGGCATTCCCTGATTCATGTTTTTCTTGACTTGCGTCTTTTTTTCCTGACTCGCGTTTGTCTTCTCGGGCCTCTTTTTCCTGACTCGTGCTTCATTCAAGCGCCTGCACCTGCAAAATATCGCGCATGCTTGCACCCACATTTCTCTTCTTTTTTTGCAAGGCAGCTGCTACAAAAATCGAATTTCCCCAAACCCCAAACCCCAACCCCCAGTCAACTCCAAACCTTGACATGAGATCTCCTTCGCGGCTTGGAGGCCACCTTTGGAGGCTTCTGGAACCTCTCGCAGGACCCTCCCAAAGGGATCCTGTAGTCCCAATCAATTCATGGCAATTGGAGGACCCTGACCAATGCTTTGGAGGTCCGAATTCAGGGTTTTTGTAGGTTAGTATTCGACGCTCAGGGTTTGACCCTGGTTTTGGGGTGTTTCGCATGCGAATAGCGCTTTCAGATTTCGAGCTCAGGGTTTGGGCTCTTGGGCTTTTGACTCGAGATTTGGGGTTTGGCGGTTGGAGGTTGGGGCTGTGGGCGCACCGCATCTTGAGCTTCAGCTGCATCATTGTCGACGGTCCCTGGCAAATTTGCCTTGCAAGCAGGCCACCAGCAAATGGTGCAGGTAGAACCCTAAATCCTACACCATACATCCATGGCAGAACTGCTCGTCTCCCTACCCCCTTAGCAGGGTCATTATTGCAAGTAGTGTGTACATGGCACCTTCACAAGTGTCACAGCAGCATGCAAGGCCCCGGCCATACGTAAGCCGTCCATTCCAGAGCAATGTGTGGTTCGCAGCGCTCCCCTAAGCCCTACACCTGAGTCTATTCGCTTGCTGTCGGAAGACCCAAGTCTCGGGGCTTCGGCTTCCGAGTTTGAGGTTGAAAGCTGTGGGCTTCAGTGCAGAGGGTCGAAGTCTAGGACTGTGGCCAGCTGTGCCAGTTCAAAGCGCATGAAGTAATCTTCACGAAGCGCCCCAACAGTGCATGTTGGTCCCCCATTGAGATGACCAGCTGCAGCCTAATGCATGAGCCGATAGGAGGGCACGCGGGAAGCTGCTTGGTAAGTGTAGATCTTGAGTATCGTATCATCGATCACTTTATGGCATGTTCTATGTTTTGTGCTCCTCAAAATCCCCATGGGTGAGATCCTAAAAACAGCCCTGGCGTTGCGTACAACTATCATTCACGACTGAGTATTAATGAAGCAGCTCGCCAGAAATGGTGGCAGCTACTGGGCTCTAGGGCTTAGGGTTTGGGCTTGAATTCCTTTCAGTTCGGAGTTGAAGGTTCTTGATGCAAGGTTTTGGGGTTGAAGACTTCAGGGTTTAGGAAGAAGCATCTAGGGTTTTGATCCTTGATCTTTCTTCAGGGGACCCTAGTAGGGCTGTGTATTGGGGTTTCTCAATATGATCCCCATATGCTCCACATGGGGACCCATATCATTTTGTAATCAGGGGCAACTAGGCACCCCGCTCTTTTGAGAACCGGTTCGGGCCGCCAATTGAACAAACCCAGCAAGCTCAAAATAGCGTGCCCTTTTAGGATTTTGGGTTCAGCATACGAAAGATCTACGCTGCCATGTGGGAACATGCGGCGCAAGAAGGAGAGTCCAATCGAAGACATGGCCAAAAATTACAAGGAACCTTTGGCTGCGTACTCTCCCGGTTATCAAAAGATTTTCTTGACCTTCCTGACTTTGCTAGATGGTGCGTGAAAAATTCTCCCATCCAATACCCTGGGCCAAACAGAGATCTGAAGAATAGTGGTTATTATTGTAGGGCTCCAATTAGCTGTCAAAATCGAAGCATCTTTCTGCTTTCATTGCGGCCCCAGAGATCCCATCTGAGTCTTGAGAAGGACAATGCCGATGGCCAACTAAAGCCGATTGACGTGCAAAGAATTTGATCCATCATTCGCTGTACCAGTGTGCGGTGGGTTGGGCGACATGACAACTCCAAAGCAAACTGCTGTGGCCCTCTGGCGAGTGCAGTTCTGAACAGCCAAACAAAGCATGCCTGGCTCCAGTTTCAGCGAGGATGATGTGAGATACCAGCCATCAGCCGTGAGTTTCAGCACGGGTGCGGCTGCAAGAGGCTAGTGACTAGTGCAGCAGGTGTGCCCATTCCCATATTTCTCTCATAAAAGCTCGCGGGTCACATACAAATACAAACATGGTATCGAAAATGCGCGTGGGGCGGGGGAAAGTCATTTGTGCCCTGGCACCTACGACAAAGAAGTAAAGACGCGCACAAAAGAAACGATGCTGCGGTACCAATTTTCCATGCGCAGCTCAGCATCGCATCAGCGGCAGCGCTGAAGGCTCGACACGCGAGTCATGGTCATGACAAGCATTACAGCTGACAGCAGTTGTCATGGTAGCGATCACAAACGTGGAGGTCCCTTCCCTCGCCCTTGCTCCGCCGCAGACTGGCCCTGGCTTACTTCAAGCTGCGCACAAGTGCCATCCTAAATTGATGACGTTCCAGACCTTGTTCCAGACTTTGGAATCGTGGGGCACTGGGAACAACATGATCTGTCTCCGAGCGAAGATGAAGTTGATGATGATGATGATGATGATGATGGTGCACAGCTGATGGCGATGACAAATTGGAAAAGGAAGAAGAGAAGACTCTGATTACATTGACGATAACAAAGTTGCTCAGGCTGAGGAGGGCGTACAGCTGCTGCGGCTGCTCAAGAGTTGCTGCTGTTGCAATGCCCTTCCGCTGAAGCCCATGATTCCAAGTGAGGGGATGAACCAGAAAATGGGGAAACAAAGCCCCCAATAATATGACATAATATATCATAATGTACCATAATATACCATAATATATTACTGTAATTTGTCCCCTTCCCTGCTCTGCTCTTGCCCCGTGAACGCACGGCGTCTTCTTCGTTGGCTGGAGGATTCTCAGCGGCCCATGCCTGGGAACCGGTGTGAGCTGTAGGCCACGTGTGCAGCTTGCTATCTGTGACCACGGCAACATGATCCAGACAAGGCCCCAGCCAGAAACGAGCCTTCCATCCATCAATACTTGCTGGCGCATGGAAAACTGACTAAAAATCTGTGCAAATTGGAGGTCATCACAACATCACTTGCATGTCATGAGTCTGACAATGGCTTGGATGAGATGCGGCGGCCTGCCTTAGAACTTAGAGCCAGCACAAAACAATAAGAAATCCGACCATGATCCCACCAGACGAAGGCGAGCTAGTAAATTGATGAGGGCTTTTGACAACTGGGGCACGAGGCTGCGTGCATTTGGCGTGAGCAAAGAAAACTACGACGTCAATGTGAAGCATGAGTTCAACGATGGAGCCGGTTGTGCTGTGTATCCGTCGAGAGAAGTTACCCCGCTTCCGATTACCGGTCCTGATGCTTGTGACACATTCCCCTCACTCAGAACCCGTATGACGAAGCAGCTTGCGAAAATATGGTGTGACTTTAGACTGATTTGCAAACTGCAGAAGACAAGCACGGCAAATTCGTGTTGAGACATATCGGAACATCACACACGGCAGTACACCCACCTCAACTACAAAGGTCTGCCCAGGGTTCTCAGGAATATGCTATGAGAGTACTCATAGAAATAAAAACAATAATGATAAGTGACTATGATGATAAGAGTAATGATAATAATAAATATATTGATGGTAATTTTTAGAGCTTATGTCCCTAAACCTTAAAGGCTCCGGATTTAGGGGTTAGGGGTTTAAGGGTTTAGGGGTGTAGGGTTTAGGGGTTTCGGGTTTAGGGATTTAGGGTTTAAGGGTTTGAGATCTGCTGGCCCGGTTTTGAAGTCTGCAGCTCCAAGTGCTGACCAGAGCTCCAAAACAAATTCGGACTGCGGCCTAAATCAGAACCATCAGGCGAATTTAGCTGGCGTTTGGTTAGCTAGGACTGAAGGAATGGCCTTGTGGTAGTCCCTACATAACCCATGATAGTAG